GAACAGATTAGAACAAGTCACAGAATACTAAAAAATTCATCACAAGGATAAGAAAATAAGATAGAAAATAAAGCAGTTCAACAACCACGCAAAATAAAAAGTTTTTAACAAAAGACAAATAGAAGTCCTTCTGAGAGATGGCTACGCCGATTCTTCCTCGGCAGATTCCTCTCCTGAACCTTCTTCAGCATCCTCCTCAGTCTCTTCCTCTGAGCCTGCTTCTTCTTCCTCATTTTCGGCATCAGACCAAGCTTCTTCATCCTCTTATTGTTCTGAACCTTCATCTTCTTCCACAACCTTTTCTTTTCCTTTGGCTTTGGCAGCAGCATCAGTCTTCTTTTTCCCAGTAGTAACCTTTTCTTTCCTAGCAGCAACTTTGTGTTTCTCCCCCTTAGTCGTAGCAGTGGACTTCGACTTCTCCCCCTTAGCAAGAACCTTCTTCTTTCCAGTCTTTCCAGCAATAACTCCAGTAGTCTTCTCCCCCTTTTTCGATTTAGATACCCAAGGGGCCTGTGACTTCAATGCACCGAGCACCTCCTTATAGTACCTTCGTTGATCAGCCAACTTTTGCTCAAGTTCTGAAAGTACAACCACTTGTTGGTTCAAGAACCCACGCAGATGAGAAGGAACATCAGAAGCATTGACAAGAGAGGGACGTGGAGGTGTGGACTTAACTCCAGCAAGAGCGAGTGGATTGAGCACAGGTGAGAAGGTATCACCCACACGAGGGTCCATTTTGACACCTTCTTTGAAAAGAATAGCACAAATGGTAGACGAATACAACAACAATTTGTGAGGCTTGGAAATTTCAGCAAAGGACACCACGGCATCAAAGATTACTGAACCAACATCAAAAGGAACACCATTGAGAATGCAATATATAACACGAGCCTGAGTAGGAGTTACAAACTGTTTGTGTGAAGTCGGTGTCCAGTTTGATGCTCCAATTTTTTGTAAAGCATTCGCAGGAGGAGTAAGGCTCTTGACAAACAGTCCCGGAGCAAGCCATTTATGCAATGAACCACCAGTCAAGGTGCGGGCTACTTCATCAAGATCATAAGTCAGTGGAGAGAGAGCGGAACTTTCAGCCACACCAAGCACAGAGTTAATAACATAAGGAGAGAACACAACAATACTATCCCGAACAAAAACTTTATGAAACTTCATGGATTTGGGGTCAGAAACAGAAGTGGTCAGGTTCGAATAAAATTCAGCAACAAGTTGAGGACAATATTTAATCACAAACGTCACAGAACCTTCAAGACCAACCTTTTTCAGCAACTCAAGCAAACCAAGTCGTTCAAAGTGCTCACTCACAATCGTCCTCTCAAGACGAAATTTTATTTGAGAAAATATATTGGAGAAACGAGTTTCAGATTTAGGAGAGTAATGTTTGCGGGAGAAAGCATTACCAACAACAAACGGAGTATCTGAACCATCACCTTCAAGATCATCGATGGCTTTCTGTTCAACAGCAGGGGAACTTTCCTTGGCAATCCCAATCTAGTCGTTGGACTTTTCAGGTTCACCAA